ATATTATATTATAATCACCAAACTTGCTAAGATATTAGAACTCAATTATTCCAACCACTAAAAAAAGGATTATTATGTAATGTGATAGAGCTGATAATTATCATTACAATGGTGATCATATTATAATTTATAAGTGTATAAATTTAACATGTTGTACACCTTAAATAGACACAACGTTGTATGTCAAATAAATTTCATTTTTTTTAAACTCCAATTTTTAAATGGCTAAAAGATGTGCACACTTTACCAAAGAACATATAGAGTCTTATAACATCATGGCCAAAATGTCCAAGATTCAATCAAAATCACTCATGTGAAGAACCAGAAAACTCTCAACTTGAATGAGATAAAAGATAACATATCAACACCAATATTAGAATTGCCAGATAATTCTAACCTGACAATATTCTGATAGAATTATTAGAAATATCAATCCTGAATCCTAATTATCTGAATTAAGATTTCAAAGGAGGCATCATAAACACGTTTCAACAAATAATCGTGAACACTTGAAACAAATGAAAACATTTAAAGTCTCCACAAAGAAATGGAAGATATAAAGAAGAACCAAGTGGAAATTATAAAACTGAAAAACAAAATAAAACAACAATAACAAATGTAGAGAATAGAAGAAGCAGTGAAATTGAAGAGAGAAAAATAAAAATAACCCTGAGCAACAGAGAGAAAACAGACTAAAAACAAAACAAACAACAAAAACAGCAACAACAACAACAAAAACAAAAAAGAGAGCCTGGGGGGTTTGTGGGGTATAACAAAAAATCTAAAAATTGTGTTAGTAGAGTCCCAGAAGGATAAGGGAAAGAGAGTGGGGCTAAACATATATTCAAAAAAATAATAGCTGAAATTTTCCTAAATTTTTTTTAAGATTTTATTTATTTATTTGACAGAAAGACAGCAAGAGCAGGAACACAAGCAGGGGGAGTGGGAGAGGGAGAAGCAGGCTTCCCACCAAGCAGGGAGCCGGATGTGGGGCTTGATCCCAAGACCCTGGGATCATGACCTGAGCCAAAGGCAGACGCTTAACAACTGAGCCACCCAGGCACCCTGAAATTTTCCTAAATTTGGCAAAAGATACAAATCTACAGATTCCAGAGGCTGAGTGAATTCCAAAAAGGGTAAACTCAAACAAATCCACACCAAAACATATCAAAATCAAATTTTTGAGAACTAAAGACAAAGTCTTGAAAGCAGTGACAGAGAAATGACACCTCACTTATTTTTTTTTAAAAGATTTCATTTATTTATTGGACAGAGAGAGACACAGCGAGAGAGGGAACACAAGCAGGGGGAGTGGGAGAGGGAGAAGCAGGCCTCCCACTGATCAGGGAGCCCGATGTGGGGCTCAATCCCAGGACTCAGGACCTGAGCTGAAAGCAGATGCTTAATGACTGAGACACCCAGGCGCCCCGACACCTCACTTATAAAGGACAAGAATTTGAATAACAGCAAATGTCTCATCACAAACCTCATCACATCCCAAAGGAAATGCAAAACATTTTTCAAATGCTAAAATAAAAGGACTAGCAACCCAGAATTTTATATCCAACAAAAATATCCTTCATGAATGAAGGGGAAAAAAAATCAAGACATTCTCAGAAGAAAGAAAACTTAAGATAAGTTGTTACCAGTAGATCGACTTTAAAAGAATGGCTAAAGAAAGTACTTAATTAGAAAGGAATTATGAAAGAAGGTCTCTTGGAACATCAGGAAGGAAGAAAGAACAATGAAAGAGTAAAAATGTGAGTAAATACAATAGACACTTTCTTAAGTTTTCTAAGTTAACAGTTCTGCTGTGGTTTTCAGTGTGTGTAGAGGAAATGTTTAAGACACTGTAAACGTATTAAAATGATGAGGGGGCAGGTGAGTATGATTATAAAGGGGTAGAGATGAGGGAGATCTTTGTGGTGATGGAACAGTTTTATATCTTGATTAAAGAGTGGTTCCACAAATCTATATGTGTGATAAAATGGCATTGAACTATGCACACACATTTTGCCAATATCAAATTTTCTGGTTTCCAGATTGTGCTATGATTATATAAGAAGTATCCATTGGGGGAAATTGGGTGGAGGATATGGGGGATCTCTCTGTACTATGTTTTCAGCTTCCTGTGGATCTACAATTATTTCAAAATAAAAACCAATTTTAAAAAGACAAAGAAATTGTACGAAATTCAAAAAAAAAAAAAAAAGGAATACCTAATAAGTGAAAGCAAAATGAAACAAATCCAACTGTGTATTCAGTTCGTGGCACAACCACTCAGAGGAACTCTTTCAAGTGACCTTAAAACACAGTAATTTGACTCTACATCCTTAGTGGACAATACCTTAAGGACAAAAAGAATTACAAAAAGAAGGAGGAGGAGTAGAAGAAGAAACCATTTTCAGTAATTTCATTGTTGGAAGTCTCATTTTATTCTGATACTCTGGTGTGTATGTTTTGGGATAAAGCAAATAAGTCATTATGTCAGCATCATTAAGAGCCAGGATTTTTTTTGGTGTGGGAGAAAGGAGACACACAGTTAGGATAGTTAAGTAAAAACTGTATAAAACTGAATTGAATAGGAAATACAGGTGTATTTTCTCCTTTCAGAGAAGAAATCATATTTCTTAGATCCACTCACTAAAAAGTCCTAGAAACAGCAACCGACCCAGGAACAATGAGCACCACCAGATTATGGTCTTTAAATAACATTTCCTACAAAAAGGCAACAGGATTTCTTAGAGAAATATCTGATCCCAGGTCTGGGCAGGAAGATGAGCCTAAAACATCTGTCTTAATACCAGGATAGCAAGGTAGTTATCTGAAACTACTGGGATTCTTTCAAAACACCAACATTGGCCCAAACCCCTACTGGCCAAAGATGGGACAATAGAAGCAACAAAAAGAATAATAGCTACAACGGATTAAAATGTACCCAGTGCATTTAAATCTGTGAATCCATGATGGTACTCAACAAAATAATAACTTTATTGATCACCCTTGGTAAATACTAGGGAACCAACTCATTATTTTGAAAACTGGTAAATACATTATTTACAATAGCCAAATTATAGAAGCAGCCCAAATGTCCATCGACAGATGAATGGGTACAGAAGAAGTGGTATATGTACACAACGGAATATTATTCACTTATAAAAAGAATGAAATCTTGCCATTTGTAACAACATGGATGGAGCTAGAGAGTACAATGCTAAATTAAAATAAGTCTGTCAGAGAAAGACAAATGATGATCTTACTCATATGTGCAATTTAAGAAACAAAACACACAAGCAAAGAAAAAAGAGAGAAAAGAAAGAGAGACAAACCAAGAAACAGACTCTTAACCTCAGAGAACAAACTTGGTTAGCAGAAAGGAGGTGAGGGGGGTGAAATAGGGGATGGGGATTAAAGAGTACACTTACGATGAAAAATAAAATAAAATAAACTGGTAAATAAAGGCAAAATTATTTATCCCACCTTTCATAGGTGAACTATACCTCACAACAACCAAAATTTTAATGAGGAGATGTTTCTCTTTATAGAAGTTATAGAGCTCATAAATGAAAAAATAGTGACAGCCCTCGAATTGAATGTTACCTTTTTGCAGCCCTTAACTGAATAAAGAATCTAGTCAACTATCATGGAAGGCTGCTAACATCAGTAAAAGAGAGATAACCAGGCAACATGAGCCTCGTGATGGAAGTACACACCATCACTTCGGAGTTGTTCTTGCCCAAAAAAACTGAACTTGAATCTGCTCAAGTCTCTAGTCCTAGCTACCAATTCACAGGAATAACACCATGGGGATGCAATCAGAAAATCCAGACTCTGGGAAACCCTACAGCGCAAACAACCCAGTTTCTTCCACAAATAACATGCAAGGGGGAGAGAGACAGATACACACACACACACACACACACCCCAAGACCTACAGATTTAAATGATTGAAGAAACACATCAGCCAATTACAATGTAGGGATCCTCTTTGGGTTCTGATTTCAACTACAGGGGGAAATAAATGTTGAACAAATATTTTATTCTATTAATGTCTTATTGTTAAGTTGGAGCTTTGATAGCTATTGTGGATTTGTTTATGTCATTACCATTTACAGATACATACTGAAAAATTTACAGACAAAATAATATGTTGCCTTGGATTTACCTCAAAATAACCAAGGGTCAAGGAGGGAAGTGGGCGACGAGTACAAATGAAACAAGATTGGCCATGAGTTGATCATTGTTGACACTGGGTAATTAATACATGCACACTCATTTTACTATTCTCTCCACTTTTGTATGGGTTTGAAATTTTTCATAATAAAAAGTTTTTAAATATACCCATATAGAGCCAGAAAACTGGCATTACTTTGGTTGCCTCTCTAATCTCTGCCCATTGGTTTTTATTCTGTTCTCTGGTGTCTAGAAGATTAGTGTCATAGTAATAATAATAGTAATCTCAACATTAATAGCCAGCATCTTTGGAGCACATACTTACTATGTGCTAACTCATTATGAATTCAAACCTTTTATGAATATTTCCATTTAATCCTGACAAAATCCTAAAGTAAATACTATTATTATTCCCATTTTACAGGTGAGGAACCCGAGGGAGAGAGGTGTGATGATGGAGCCAAGCCTCAAACCCAGATCTGACTGCGGATTGCCAGCTTATAACCACTAAGCTACAAAAGGGCAAAAGATGAAGATGGCTGTCACGTCCTCAGTCTTCCCTTTTTGGGGGCTAAAGCCTGAGTTCTTCCACTCGGCCGCTGCCTCCCCCCCAGTGTGGCTTCTCTGCCCCACACCACCCTTGGAACATGCGCCAAGAGCTAGGAAAATGGTTGGTTGAGGTTCTTGAGAGTCTCCCAGGCCTGCGGAACAGCCTGCCCTTCCCCGGGCACCCTGCAGAGATTCCCGAGTGCTGTCTGGTCCTCCTGCATCCAGACTAACAGCCAGAACGTGCACAACGTGCGCACGTGCCGGGGGGCGTGGCTCACCTGGGCCGCGGTGCCTCTTCTCCATCCAGATGTAGCAGTTGTTCTGGGCCACCCCGGTCTGCGAGTCCAGAAAGGGGAGGCGCACACTGCGCTCTGCGCAGAGCCGCGAGTTATAGCTGCGGCAGTGCTCAATGGCTTCCTTGTAGAACTGGTCCCCAAGCCTGCCCGGGAGAGGAAGAGAAGAGGAGTGAGGCCAGGGAAAAATGGAAGTGCGCACAGAGGGAAACTGATGTTACCCACCTCCCTCCCTGGGGAAATGATGGAGTTATGAAGACCCAGGCGATGAGGTCCAAGAGCCTTGCCAAGGGGCAGAATCCAACTTGGAGTCAGGTCTCAATCAGGTTCTATTTCCCATACCAAATCCACCAGGGAATTTAGAATCCCCTTTAACAAAGAGCCTAGGGCCCCTAGATAAACCACCAGTAAAAGTGACAAGTCCCTGTTCCAGGAAGCATGAGGTCCTGTTCCAGGATAGAGGTGGCTCTGGAACAGTCTTCTACCTGGGTTCTACCAGGAGCTAAGGCTTCTAGAGTCCCCTCATTAACATCCTCCATTAGCCACACTTTGTTCTCAATAATTGCCAGCAAAAGCACTCTAGAATGAACCCAAAACACCAGCATCAATGCATGGCTTTCCAATACAACAGAAGAGAAACACCAATATAAACACAGACTAGAAGGACAGAGGAAATATCCCCTAAAAATAGAGCTATTGTGGTGAAAGGAGGTGAAGAGAGGCATGCACCAATCTTTTTTTTCTTTTTATTTTATTATGTTATGTTAATCACCATATAGTACATATTTAGTTTTTGATGTAGTGTTCCATGATTCATTGTTTGCGTATAACACCCAGTGCTCCATTCAATACAATGCACCAATCTTTTAAAACCACACACTTAAAGAAAAATAACGTTCTAACCGAAAACAAAGGAAGCATTTGTAATAAGAGCTGAATTTTGAATTCAAGATAATTTAATCCCTGGGATCTAAAACACAAATAGAAAGACCTTTCTGATTTGTTGGAGGGGTGATCTGATTAAGCACAGTAAATTTTATGTTCCTGAATCTTTGGTATCCTTGGACATGTGGTCATGCTACTAATTTTAAGATAGTGTCCTTTTCAAAGACCAAAAATATAACATTGGTAAAACTGATCAAATGTAAAGAAAAAAAAATCAGTGAGATCAAATACCTAACAAATAAAAGACAGGCACATGTTGGAGGTTAATAATTGTCTCAAGGAAATACAAATGTCTTAACCTAACCTCTGCCAGGTAGACTTGCACTTCTTAGTGGGGAGCCGTGGGGAAAGGCAGAAATGGGAGGAGCCACAGGGATTGTTGGGCCAGAAGGGAGAATCAAGTAGCTCATTCTGAAGCGACATTATGAATGTCCCTTTGTTTTGGTTCTATGTAGATTAGAAGAAGCCAAAATCAGAGTGACAAAGTCCCAAAGTTAAAAATAATATATTCCTTAACCAAAATATTTAGAGAACTAAAGAAAGCAAAATTTTAGAGGGATTTTTCTATACTCTTAAAAAAAAAATCAGCAGGTTAGAGTCTACCAAAGAATTTAAAGCAAATTTCTTATTCTGGGAGGATACAACCATTGAAGCTTCTGAGGCATCTTTTGGAAATTACTTATTGACATACCTCTTAAAAAAACAAACAAAAAAAAAAAGCCCCTTTGCTCCTTTTCCCGCTCTAAACGTCTTCAGTCTCACAAGGAAGGCATAACGTGCTCAGAAAGTGTCCTAGCAGGTGCAAAACCAAACTGTAATCAAATTATAATAGCCACACAGCTGGAAATGAATTGGGGGGATGGAAGCCTATTAAAATGCTATAAAACGGAACATGAGCTGATGTAATCAAAGATGGTAACAAGGATCATGAGATTGACCAAAAATAAAGAACCATTTCCTACAAAGCGTTCACATTTGTGTCCCACCGGCTTCAATGCCTCCACTGCTAAAGCTCAGGGCGACAGAACTTTCCCAGACAGCTCAGCGCAGCCAAGATGACACACAGCCCCATCCAGGGCATCCTGGATGCTCCAGCTCCTTCATGAAACGGCGACCAGCTGCACCACATTGATGAGAACTGACAAGAACACGCAACAGAGAGGTGTCCGATGTGAAAAACAGTCATCTGGTTTCCCAGGATCTTTTGGCAGATGGCCAAAATATATGTTAACTCTTCCAACCCCAGAAATTCTGCTGAAAGAGAATCCATAAACCAAGCAAATGGCACACTAGAACTCTAGACTGGAGAGAAGGTCTCCGTCTTCAAAACAAATTCTGGAAGCCGGGATAAAAGAAAACAACAGCAGGATCTCAAATTAGACTTTACCTGATACGCTCCTAACTTGCTTCCAACATCCCAAAGAGAAGGACAAGAAAGGGAAGTTACTGAAAATGAAAAGTGAGTTTGGCCAAGTCCATGCCCCACATCGAATGGAATGAGAAAGTCAAACATAGTGGTGTGCTGGGCGAAAATTAATTTCATCTTAAAAACTTTCCACTTTCCGTAACATGCGATGTTATTAGTAACAGGCATGCCGGGGGGGGGGGGGGCAGGGGGACGTGTATTTTTAAATGTAATCTTTGTGTGAACGATACCTCTCTTACGTAAACAGAGAAACCCTTCTCCAGACTGGAACAACCGTATTAAAGATTGAACCTGCAAAAATGTGACATCCAACACCCTCCCTGCCCCTGTCTCCAGGGAAGTCACTTTTAAACAGACCAGGCGTTGGCAGCGACTTGGAAACAAAAGTTTAAAGCCTTTTTCAAGATACGGGAGGAGAAAAGAGACTTCAGCCTTTTTGATAAATTCAAGCAGAACGTCTCTGAAAGTTAATTAGCCAAAATCTTCACGGGGCTTGTACTGCTCTCGAGAAGAAAATCGATGGCCAGTTCTCCCTAACCCGTGGAAAGCAATTTAAACAGGAGAGAGGACAAATGTCCTTTTCAACATGGGATTTCTTTAAAAAAAAAAAAAAAAAAAAAACCCCCACAATGATAGGATCCCGGGGGGTGACATTTGCATTCAAGTTGTTGGGGGGGTGGGCAAGGCTGGCAGTGGGCGGTGACCAGCATGTCCCAGGCTGGGTCACCCAGCCTGGGCCGTCACCTGTCTGCATCAAACCAAGGGGGCTGGGTTACCGCGGGCTGATAGATGTCTTGGGCTGGAAGAAGCTCACACGAGGCAGAGTAGAATGATGTTCTCATCAACAGCCTCATTCAGGCTACCTGAGGCTGCAATCAAAAGCAGGAGCAGCACAGCGGGACACATTGCTGGGCTCTGTCCCCCACGGCCTGCAGCTTGGAGCAGCGCTGGCTGCCCCGTTCTGGGGGTGCCATGAGGGGTGAGATCCCTCAGCGAGCAAATCTGGAGTAAGGGAGCCATAGTTCTCAGAGCTTTCCAGTGACCCTCCTTGAGCATATCTGTGGAAAAAATGGATTCCAGGGAACCAAAGAGCATTGGGGTACAAGTAAGACTTCTCTGAAATGATTCCAACTAGGCTCCAGATGTGCTTTTCAGAGCCCATCACAGCCCCTCCAAGACCCTCTGCCCCCTTTCTTCTTCATGCTTCCACCTCTCTCTCTCAACACCTTGCCTCTTCTCTTCGATTCCATATCCACTGGCCTGAGCTGACTCTCAGATCCAAACCCCCAACCCAGACACCTGGGGCCCCTCCCTCTTCACTGTACCTCTGGTCCTGTGTTCTGACCCAAGAACAGGTGTCCTGCCATACCCCAAACACGTGTCCAAAAGCAAATTCCTCATCTCCTGCCAGAAGCCTGCTCCCTCCCCAGAGTCTCCATTCTCCTGAGGTTGGGGAGTCATCTGGTTTCCCAGGAAGAGAAGAGAGAGAACCCCATATTTCCCCAGCAAGGTGTCCTTGACCCTTCCCTTTCCTTCATCCCTTCTGGCATTGGATTCTTTCATTTCTCAGGAAGTCGCCTCTTCTGTCCATTCCTGCTGCATGGCCACCAGTCCCCTTTGACTGTAAAAACAGGACCTTGGCCCATCATTGCTATTTGTGCACATAAACAGAGATAAGCAGAGATAACAAGAAGCCCTAGCCTGTGGCAGGATCTCTGGCCCCTCCTTCCCCACCATGGGCCCCTCCTCCTCTCTGTGGGCACCTGGATTTCCTGCTGTCTCACCCAACTGCCCACACTTGCACCACGGCCCACAAACACATATTAAGACTCATTGACACCAATATGCTAACTTCCTCCTGTTTGCATTTAAATGTATTTAACTCTAACTGTGCTGTGGAAAGCATTTTATAATAACTAGCAAGCAGGGGGCAATATTTGGCAAGGTGGAAGAACCTCTTCGTTTTCCTCACGGTGACACTGTTCCTAAAGCTGCCCTTCAAAGAAAGCCAGGTTGAGTATTTGCTGTGGACTGAATTGTTTCGCCTGAAATTTATGCGCTGAAGCCCTAACACCCTAATGTTCTAGTATTTGGAGATGGGGCCTTTGGGAGGTAATTAGTTCATGAGGATGGAGCTCTGGTAATGGGATTGGTGCCCCTGTAAGAAGAGATAGGAGAAGGACCGACCTCTCTCTCTCTCTCTCTCTTTCACTCTCTCTCTCCCTCTGCCATGTGAGCACACAGCAAGAAGGCAGCCATCTACACCCAAGAAGTTTCTCACCAGAACAAGACCATGCTGACTCCCTAATCTTAGACTTCACAGCCTCCAGACATAAATATCTGGAGAAGTAAATAAATATCTGTTGTTTAAGCCACTCAATCCCTGGTATTCTGTCATAGCAGCCTGAGCTAAGGCAGTGTTTCTGATATTTAAAAGAAGAAAGGCCTGTAGAGGATGGTGGTGCAAGACTCCAGTCCCCTTCTTCCCTCACTCTGTCCTCCTCTAACAAAGATGGCAATAGTAACACTATTCATAAGGTCAATTTCAATTCCATGCCATGCTTAATGTTTATCTTCTTTACAAGACTTTAAACTCTACGAGGGTAGAGACCACATTTGCAGGGCCACTGCACACAGCCACCAGGCTTTGCGCTAAACTGCCCAGGGGTACCAGTAACCCTGTGAGCCTGGCCTTTTTCCTGACTTATCCCCAGCCTCCAGCACGGAGCCCAGCACACAGATGAACTGCGTTCAACAACAACTCATATACCTATG